ATTCATACACTCCAAATGGGTACCACAGTCACATGTGTACAATAATAGAACCAATATTCAATGTTGACACTCTTAGCACATACATCATAGCCAAAGATCACCTCACCTTCTTTATACGCAGTCTTATTGTATGGAAACAAATAAAAGAGAGTCAGCGGGTGATTGTGATTCCCATTTCTTGCAATCTCTGGCAAGAAAGCCCAATCTACGTGAAGGTCAAAATTGCAAGCTAAACAGTGGTAGCTAAAAGTAGACCCGTTTGAGAGACATGCATTGCAAGTAAACACATTGTCTTGTTTGTACGATGGGGAACAGAGAAGGGTGAAAGAATGGTTTGGATGAGACTCGTGGTTGGTCTTCGGTGGCAATCCGAAGCATTGCTGGTGGAGATAGAATTTGCAATTATTGGACTGGGAACAACTGTAAACTAATCCCGAAAGGTTCTTTTCACAGCCAAAGCAAGTAATAAGATCCACTTCTCAGATATCGGTGAGATTTAAAGGATGATTGTGAGTGAAATGCTTCACCCCTTGAGGTCGCAGAGGTCGATTTTTTCTTCTTTTTTTATTTTTTTATTTTTAAGTTAGAGTTTGAAACAAAACTGAAACCAATATACTTTCTTATTCAACAACACATTTGATAATACATCAGCTATATTTATACAAAGTAATAAGGAGCTCAACTAATCATCTAAACAAAATATCTTCTAACAAATTAACTATCTTCTCAACTGTGTAACTAACTCTACCTAACTCCTAAACAGATGAACTTCTTGAATTGTAATATGTTGAACTACAATCTGAGCCAGAGTTGCACTTGAACTACTGCACTACTTAAACCTGAGCTGGTTGAACTATATTCCTCAACATTCCCCCTCAAACTGATTAGAGGAGAGACTGACATCTAATCAGTTTGGATTGAAGATAAGAGAAACGAGATACTGATAATGCTTTGGTAAATATATCATTCAACTGATAAAGAGTAGGAACATAGTGCAACTCAAGCTTTTTAGCAAGGACTTGATCACAAACAAAGTGGCAATCCACTTCAATATGTTTTGATCGAGAGTGAAAGACTGGATTAGAGGCTAAGGCTATGGCAGAGACATTATCACAGCAGAAAAGAGGAATTGTGGGACACAATACAAAGATCATGAAGTAACATGCCAATCCAAATCAGTTCAGTAGCAGTATGAGCCAATGATCGATACTCTACTTCAGTAAAGGATCGAGACACAGTGGCTTGTTTCTTGGCTAACCAAGAAATAAGATTGGAGTCCAGAAAGACACAATATCCAGAAGTGGATTTTCTGTCAATAGGGTTGTAATAACCCTAACCCATGATTAAAGTTAACTCATGCTTAATTACGCCTAATAAATAATTGAAGTGAAATGTTGCATCATATGTTGCCTTGTGTGTGTATATATCTGTTTAACATAGAAAGATCTGTTAATGTTTTCATTTCGGTTTGCGAATTGAAGGCTTTATCGGCAACCAATTCAGAAATTGACTTTATTTTTGGGTTAATTAGAATTTTTGGAATTTTATAGTAGGTTCAACTGAAATTTGATTCGGAACGATTAAATTGGATTAATTTAATGCCGTTTGATTAGCTTTAATAAACCAACACTAATGAAGCCTATATAAGGCTCCATATAAGCCTCCACTCAACTCTTTTTCTTCATTGTCAAACATATTTGAGCTATCACACACACACAAACGTGGAGAGAGGGAGAGTCTAAGAGAGAGTTGAGTTCAAAGAAGGATTTGGCTTGGAAACTTAAGGAATTGGTGGGGTTGAGAAAAACTTCCTAAAGATCAAGGGAATTAAGACTTCTAGGTAAGAATTCAACCTTGTAACCTTGAGATTAAACTACTTAGTCCAAGAAACCAAAGAATTAAGCTATGTAATGCTAGAGTTGTGCTTGAATGAAAGAAAATGGGTCATACCATGCATGTATGTCCATTTGTTCACAAATTGAGCACGATTTCCAAGAATTCCCTCATGCATGTCTTGAATTCACTTTAATTTTGGGAAATCATCAAGTTTCATGTTATTTTGTAGCATTTGATCATGTTTTGAGAAGATTGAGTTTAAAGGAATTCATGCATGTCATGTTCATGAAACATCCATAAATTTCAAGTTGAATTTTGCACAATTGGCAAGCTATTGGGCCATGATTTTTTGAAATGATCCTAAATGCATGATCTTTTATGAGTTCATAACGTATCGTTTGGTAACACTTTCGTTTTCAGTTTATATTTACAAAAATTTTAAAAACTCAAATAAAAACTTGTTTGGTAAATTTTGATTTATAAATCAGTAGTCTCAGTTTATAAATTTGGCCAAAAAATGTAAACTCAAAAAATGTGTTTCCGTTTTGAATTTTGAGTTTTTTTTTTTTTTTTTTACCACCCAACACTAGCCACCACCCGTCACCATTTTCCACCACCGTCTTTCGCCACCACCACCCACCCCTCACCCCCCACCACCATCTGCCACCACCAGTCACCACCCACCTGCCACCACCACCCACCTGCACCACCACTTCACCACCTCACCTGCACCACCCACCTACCACCACTCGGCCACCACAAGCCACCTCGCCGCCACCCACCACCACTCGCCATCCGCCATCCACCTGCCACCACCATCCACTACCCGCCACCCACCACCATCACCTATCCACCCACCATCACCACCCGCCGCTATCCACCACCACCTGCCATCGGCCACTCACTACCCACCACCACCCACTCACCACCACCCACCACCCGCCACCGTCACCCACCTGCCACCACCATCCATCCACCCGTCACCGCTTTCCACCACCGTCTTCTGCCACCACCACCCACCCACCCGCCACTTGCCACTACTTTCCACCACCGTCTTGTGCCACTATCACCCACCACCTGCCACCATTTTTCACCACCATCTTCTGTCACCACCACTCGTCATCATTTTCCACCACCGTCTTCCGCCGCCACCACTCGTCACCACCCACCACCCACCACCACTTGTCTCACTTTCTTTTTTTTTTTTATATTTTTAAATTTTTTAAAACATTTTGTCTAAACCAAACACGTTTGTAGTTTATGTTTTTCTAAAAATAAACAAAACCAGTTTATAAAATTTTTGTAAATATAAACTGAAAATGTAAACGTTACCAAACAGGCCCTAAGTGTTTCCTCAAGTTTTGGCCCAGAAAAATCAAGTTTTGATGCTTAAAGATTGAGTTTTGAACTTGCAGATCAAATTTGGAAATTCCAGAATTTGCACCTACGCTCGAGCGTTGGAATTTACGCTCGAGCGACCACTCTGAGTACATGCACCTCCGATCGAGCGAATGAAAGTCCGCTCGAGCATGAAATGCATGCTCTCAGAAGTTCATATGTTTTGTAGATCGCTCGAGCGACAAAAGTCACGCTCGAGCGAAGGTCTGAGTCTCACGCTCGAGCGGGGATTGAGCATCCATCGAGCGTGAAAATGAAGCAACCAGCACTTTTGTCAAAGTTTGCAGACCGCTTGAGTGAAGAAAGTTACGCTTGAGCGGACCCTCATATTTTGCATGTCCGTTCGAGTGAGGAAAGCCAAGCTCAAGCGTGGATCTTATTTTTAGCAAGTTTTGAAAAATGTTTTCAAGTACATTTTTGCAACCTCATTCCATCCTAGGCAAGACTAAGACACCATAATAAGGATAAGGCTAGAAGCACACTAAGAACAATGAAATAAGTTATGTACACTTCGAGCGTGTGTTTCAATGTTTGTATCCGTCATGTTATGTAGGTCACGCGCCGCAAGACATCTAAATTGCTTATTCTGTCTGTTTACCTTGGAGACTCTGTTGTCTGTGAGTAATAACTTTGTAAAGCTATGTTCGATTATAAGAATTTTTTGAATGATATAAGATGATCTGTTTTTGAAAGATGATCTGTTTTCGAAATATTATTTTCTGTATGAATGAATGGTTGTCTAATGTTTCTGAAATGTATCCGTGGCATTCTTAGATTCAAATGACATCTGTTATCTGTTCTGTTACGTCCCAATTATGGGTCAACTGTACGTCTCATGAGCCAACTGTTATGGATCCTTATGTATACGTCTCTTAATGGGCCAACTGTTTCTGCTAGTGCTAATGGATGTACCACGTATGATTAACTACAAATTCTGATTATGAGTATGATTCTAAATCTGTTTCTGTTATGAACTCTGATTTCTAAGCATGATTATGAATCCATTTTTGTTAACTATTGATTTCTGTTTTTTGTAACTGTCATGGACAACATTCATTAAACCTCCTTATTCTGTTATTATTCACTGGACTCCAGCTCACTATTTATATTATGTATGTAGGTGAGTAGACACATGACCAGGCCCATAGTTGAGGGCCTATGTTTCTGTTTTGTCAGCCAACTACCGTGCCTTTTGAGGAAGTTCCATTTGAGAGGATTATGTCAAGGCTTTAGTTGAGCTTGTTTTGTATATCTATACTTGGGCTAAGTACCCCTTTGACCCTATCTGTGTAATTGAGTGACGAAAGACTAATGTATTTTTGACGTCAAGTCCGTATATATATAAGTTTGTTTTGAAAATTTCTATCTCATGTATGTTTGCACAGCTCTATGGACTATGTTAATTTTATATATTTGCTTCCGCAACCCCTATCTTATGTTATCCTGTTTAGAGACCTTTGGTAATCCAAGGATTACTGGCCGGTTACAACGCTAAACTTATAGGGCGGGTTTGGGTCATGACAGAGTGGTATCAAAGCATGTGTTCTACCGCACACACAAGTCCATATGAGCTATAGGATGTCCTAGGAAAGAATTAGGGACATTCTATCTGCATGTGTGAGTGCGTAATAATTTTTATACAAGAGAAAATTTCATTTGAACATAAACACATGAAATTCAATTGATTAAACTGAGAATGGATGTTCTGAACATTATGGAAAGGACTATTTGCGTATGTTTATTACCCTTTTTGTTTCCCTATAGCAATGGAAAATGTAAGAAGTGATGATACAGTAGGGTCTTTAGAGGCCCGAATGAATAGAATAGAACAGATGCTTGCAGCTCTAACTGAGGTAATAACGCAACAATAGAGGCAATAACCTTTACCTCCCCCGCCTCCACCGGTACAAGTTGAACTAGACAACAACGATATTATCAATCTGACTTAGAAGTTCATGAAAATGAGACCGCCAATCTTTTTTGGTGGAATGGAATCGTCAAAAGCTGAAACATGGTTGTTGGAGATGGAGAAATTGTTTGAAGTATTTCCTTGTTCTGAGATTCAGAAAGTCCTTTTGGCCACTTACACCCTGAAAGACGAAGCTCGGAGATGGTGGTTATTGGTCCGAAATAATAATGGAAAAATGACATGGGCTCAATTTAATACGATCTGTTATGACAAGTATTTTCCACAGTGCTTTTGGGATTGAAAGGTTTCAGAATTTCAGGAACTCAAACAAGGCATAATGTCTGTAGCTGAGTATGAGGCAAAGTTTACTGAGTTAGCCAGATTTGCTCCTCACATGGTGGACACGGACTATAAGAAAGCCCGCAAATTTGAGAGTGGATTAGATTTAGATATACTAGATCGGGTGAGAGTCCTCAACCTATCTATGTATGTGAATGTATTGGATAGAGCATTGATGGAAGAAGCCATTTTGAAGCAAAAAGGCAAGCTCCAGCCCCAATAATTGAATGGAAAGGAAAAAGATCTAGATTCAATTTTAAGAAGAACCATTCAATTGCCATGAATAAGAAACAAAGTACGGGATCTTCTAACAACTCAAGTCAAAGCAGTGGGTCTACACCCGTTTGTACACAATGTGGAAGGAGACATAGAGGAGTTTGCCATCGGGTATCGGATGCTTGTTTCCGGTGTGGCAAGATGGGCCACATAATAAGCGATTGTCCAGTCGGGTCAAAAAATGGCAATCGTCCTGTGGCAAGTTCAGTAGGATCTGCTTTTGGGTAAAAAACAAATACTAGAACTAATGCTGGGAAAGAACCTCTGAGACAATGTCGAGTGTTTGCCTTAATGCCTGGTGACGTACAGAACACCGAAGTTGTGGTGTCAGGTATACTCCCTATATGTTCTCAAAATGCATGTGTACTGGTAGATTCTAGTTCTATGCATTCTTTTGTATCGCAAGCTTTCTCTCAGAAATTAATTAGACCCATAGAACTATGCCATTTATGTTATCTGTATCTACACCGTCTAGGGATTCTATGATGTGTGCTTATGTTCATCCGGCATGTGATATTGTGATTGGTGATATGACATTGTATATTGACTTGTTGCCCTTAAGCATTGATCATTTTGATTGTATTATGGATATGGACTGGTTAACTAAATACTGTGCCACAATTGACTGTGCAAGTAAATCTGTTATGTTTAGACCACTTGGTATGCCTGAATTTATTTTTACTGGAAATGGGGTAGTTCCTCCTCCATACTTGATTTCGGCCATGAAAGTTGTTAAATTGTTCATCCGGCATGTGATATTGTGATTGGTGATATGACATTGTATATTGACTTGTTGCCCTTAAGCATTGATCATTTTGATTGTATTATGGATATGGACTGGTTAACTAAATACTGTGCCACAATTGACTGTGCAAGTAAATCTGTTATGTTTAGACCACCTGGTATGCCTGAATTTATTTTTACTGGAAATGGGGTAGTTCCTCCTCCATACTTGATTTCGGCCATGGAAGTTGTTAAATTGCTTAGGAAGGGATGTAGGGGCTACTTGTGTTGTATACTGACTGCATCATCTGATAGTGCTAATGTGGAAACTACTTTGGTAGTTTGTGACTTTCCCGATGTGTTTCCTAATGACCTGCCTGGGGATTTAATTGATAGAGAAATTGAATTTACAATTGACATAGTACCTGGAACACAACCTATTTCTAAAACCCCATATAGAATGTCAACATCTGAACTAAAAGAGTTAAAAGTCCAACTTCAAGAACTATTGGACAAGAAGTTTATTCACCCGAGCACTTCACCATGGGGTGCTCCAGTGTTATTTGTCAAAAAGAAAGACGGGTCTTTGAGGCTATGTATTGATTATCGTGAGTTGAACAAAGTAACCGTCAAAAACAAGTACCCACTACCCCGAATAGATGACCTGTTCGATCAACTTCAGAGAGCCCAATTATTTTCTCAAATTGACCTTAGATTCGGGTATTACCAATTAAGGGTTAAGGCAAAAGATGTAGAGAAAACTGCATTTCGAACTAGATACGGTCACTATGAATTTTTGGTAACGCCGTTTGGGGTGATCAATGCACCTTCTGCCTTCATGGATCTTATGAACAGGGTGTTTAAATCATATCTAGGTGAATTTGTTTGTTATATTTATTGATGATATCTTGATTTACTCCAAAGGCAGGAAAGATCATGAAAATCACTTGAGAACCGTGTTACAAACTCTAAGAGAAAAGAAACTATATGCAAAATTGTCCAAATATGAATTCTGGCTCGACAGTGTAGCATTTCTGGGATATGTGATTGACAAAAATGGTGTGTCAGTAGACCCACAGAAAATTGAAGCTATTGTCGACTGGCCAAGACCAACCAACGTGACAGAAGTTAGAAGTTTTCTGGGACTTGTTGGTTATTACAAAAGATTTGTGAAAGACTTTTCAAAACTTTCTATGCCATTAACCCAGTTAACTCATAAAAATGTCTCATTTGAGTGGAATGATCAAAGAGAGTCTACCTTCCAAAAGTTGAAAAACAGGTTAGTAACTGCACCAATTTTGACTTTGCCTAATGGTACTGATGGGTTTCAAATTTACAGTAATGTTTCCTATAAAGGTTTGGGGTGTGTGTTAATGCAAAATGGGAAAGTGATTGCTTATGCTTCTCGGAAACTCCGTCCTCATGAAAAGAACTATCTAACCCATGACCTTGAATTAGCCGCCGTAATTTTTGCTTTATACATTTGGCGCAATTATTGTATGGAGTGACTTGTGAAGTATACAGAAATCATAAAAGCTTAAAATACTTCTTTACCCAAAAGAAGCTGAACATGAGACAAAGAAGGTGGCTAGAATGGATTAAAGACTATGACCTGCAAATTTTGTATCATCCAAGGAGGGCAAATATCGTTGCAGATGCATTGAGCCGAAAATCCATTGGGAATTTGTCGTGTTTGCTCACTGGCCAAAAGGAATTGTTATGTGACTTGGAAAAGAATGAAATTGAGATTGTGATGCGGGAACATGGTGGAATCTTAGCTGCTATTTCCGCTCATCTTGCAATCATTTAAGAAATGAAGGAGAAACAACCGCAAGATGAATTCCTGAAAAAGATCATAGATGAAATTGACTTAAAATTGAGGCCCGGGTTTGTACTTGAGAACAATGTGTTGAAATTTCAGGGTTGTCTTTGTGTGTCAGACTATGATGATTTGAGGAAACGTATTCTGACTAAGGCCCACAATTCCAAATTTACTGTGCATCTAGGAAATACGAAAATGTTTCATGATTTGAAGCAGAATTTCTGGTGGCCGGGAATGAAAAATGGTGTAGCAAATTTTGTGGCCAGATGTTTACACTGCCAACAAGTTAAAGCTGAACATCAATGGCCTGCTGGTTTGTTATAACCGCTTCCAATACCGGAAAGGAAATGAGAGCATGTTACCATGGATTTCATTGTGGGATTGCCTCGTTCCTCCCGAGGTATGGATTCTATCTGGGTCATTGTTGACCGTTTAACTAAGTCTACTCATTTTCTACTTGTCAAATCTACTTATAATGCAGACAAGTTAGCTAACATGTATATAAATGAAATCGTAAGATTACATGGTGTTCCAGTATCTATAGTGTTTGACAGAGATTCTAAGTTTACATCAAGATTTTGGCAAAGTTTACAACAAGCTTTGGGGATTGAATTGCGATTGAGTAGTGCCTATTCACAGACAGATGGCCAAACTGAATGAACAAATCAAACTTTGGAAGACATGTTACGGATGTGTGTCTTAGACTTCTAAGGAAATTGGGAGACCTATTTACCATTGGCTGAATTTGTGTATAACAACAGCTATCATTCGAGTTTTGGGATGGCTCCTTGTGAGGCTTTGTGTGGAAGGAAATGCCATTCTCCTATCTGTTAGGTTGAACTAGGTGACAGACCAATGTTGGGACTAGAACTTGTGCAAGAAACAACTGAAAATGTGAAACTGATTCGACAGAGGTTGAAAACTGTACAAAGCCGCCAAAAGAGCTATGCAGATGTTTGAAGGCGAGATAGAGAATACGAAGTCGGGGATCATGTGTTCATAAAAGTGACTCCAATGAAAGGGCAAACTCGGTTTGGAGTGAAAGGCAAATTGGCACCAATGTACATCGGACCATATGAAATTCTTGAAAAGATCAATTCAGTAACATACCAAATAGCCTTGCCTCCGATCATGGAGCATATACATAATGTTTTTCGCATATCTATACTTTGAGAGTATTTGAGAGATCCACTACATGTGATTGAGCCGACTCATGTACTTCTAAAAGATGATTATACATACGAGGAGAGGCCAATGCAAATTGTGAATTATCAAATCAAAAGATTAAGAAACAAGGAAATTTCGTTAGTGAAGGTCAATTAGCAGAATCATGGAGGAACCTATGTAACTTGGGAAACAGAAGAAGACATGATGAAAAGATATCCTGAACTATTCCCTTTGGACCCGGTATTCTTCCAAAATGAAAGTAATTCGAGTTTGGAGGACTAAACTCTTTAAGGGGGAAGACTGTAACAACCTTGACCCATGATTAACGTTAACTCATACTTAATTACGCCTAATAAATAATTGAAGTGAAATGTTGCATCATATGTTGCCTTGTGTGTGTATATATCTGTTTAACATAGAAAGATCTGTTCATATTTTCATTTCGGTTTGCGAATTGAAGGCCTTATCGGCATCCGATTCAGAAATTGACTTTATTTTTTGTGTTAATTAGAATTTTTAGAATTTTATGGTAGGTTCAACTGAAATTCGATTCGGAACGAGTAAATTGGATTAATTTAATGTCGTTTGATTAGCTTTAATAAACCAACACCAATGAAGCCTATATAAGGCTCCATATAAGCCTCCACTCAACTCTTCTTCTTCATTGTCAAACATATTTGAGTTATCACACGCACACAAACGTGGAGAGAGGGAGAGTCTAAGAGAGAATTGAGTTCAAAGAAGGATTTGGCTTGGAAACTTAAGGAATTGGTAGGGCTGAGCAAGACTTCCTAAAGATCAAAGGAATTAAGACTTCTAGGTAAGAATTCAACCTTGCAACCTTGAGATTAAACTACTTAGTCCAAGAAACCAAAGAATTAAGCTATGTAATGCTAGAGTTGTGCTTGAATGAAAGAAAATAGGTCATACCATGCATGCATGTCCATTTGTTCACAAATTGAGCACGGTTTCCAGGAATTCCATCATGCATGTCTTGAATTCACTTTAATTTTGGGAAATCATCAAGTTTCAGGTTTTTTGTAGCATTTGATCATGTTTTGAAAAGATTGAGTTTAAAGGAATTCATGCATGCCATGTTCATGAAACATCCATAAATTTCAAGTTGAATTTTGCACAATTGGCAAGCTATTGGGCCATGATTTCTTGAAATGATCCTAAATTCATGATGTTTTATGAGTTCCTAAGTGTTTCCTCAAGTTTTGGCCCAGAAAAAT